AACAAAGGTATGGACTTCAGCTCCCTCTACGAATTCTACTTTGTGAACTCAAGCGATTTAAAGTGTTTGTTTTTTTGAAGTTCTTGAAGTTTTTACTAGTTTTCAAAATAGTTTCCATAGACCGCAAAGGTATGACCTTTAGCACCCTCTATGAATTCTGCTTTGTGGATTTAAGCAATTCAACGCGTTTTTGTTGAAGTTCTAGAAGTTTTTACTAATCTTCAAAACAATTTTCATAGATCGCAACGGTATGACCTTTGGCATCCTCTACGAATTCTACTCTATGGACTTAAGCGTTTCAAAATGTTTCAAACTTTCCCTTAAATAATTCGAGCTGCTTCACAATGAATTTGATTTTTCAATTAAATCTTTTTATATGAACTTTGAAATAGTTTTTCAGACCGTCATTCTCTCAGCTATTAAGCCCTTGGATACACATCTAATACATGCACTTAATATTTTCTTCTGCAATTCTCCTATCTTATAAAAAGTACTTATTCTTGAAAGTTAGAGTTTCTTTTGGAGTTTACCTAAATTTAAAGTTTTGTGAGATATTTTACTCTAATAAACTGATTTTCTGTTTTCAAAATCTGAATATGGTCTAAAAAGACTTTCGTCTTATTTGAGAAAATTGATAACAACACTATTTTGAAAATTGGATTATTCTAGCTAAAAAACCCATTTTCTGTTACCATTATTGGTCTATCCGCACAATTATGTACCAATTTTAGAGTCCAATGATAACATCGAGTAAGCTTTTCGTTATATACGGTCCCAATTACTGAAATAATTATTGAAATTGAGTGATGTTAATTCCGAAATCATTTTTTATTAATTATGCCATAAACTTACCTATCTAATAAATAGAAAATGTTAAGTACATTCTATTATATTTATAAAGTTACTTTTTAATCAAAACTCTACAAATCTTAAAAAAAAAATAATATAATAAGCATGACTTATTCAAAATTACATCCGCCCTATGCTCTTACTAAGAGCGGTGTCTTTACCCAATGTATTGTCGATATATAGGTACATTGGAGATACAACAAGGATAATAATAATATAATAATAATAATCCAAAATTATTATATTATATTATAAATTCATGCCCTTTTGCTGGTGTCTTATAAGTCTGAAAAACTACAACTATTATTACTATTAATGTCACAAGACCAATAAAAAGATGAATAAAGACACATCCGAAACTGCTCTGCTAAATTTGATATAACAGATTAAATAAGAATTTTCCTATTGGTGTCGCATTAGGTATTTTCAGTATTTTCCTTAAATATAGTTTTGGAGAAGACCTTTTGAAATATTTTGAATGCAATCAGTTTACCGGAACCACTCCAAATTTGGGACCAAACCGCATTAACTTTCACATTTTTTTATATACCTCAAACACTATAACAAGTAAAAACAAACAACTAATCAATTTAACTAACTTGCTTAAAATTTGAAATATAAATAAATTAAATAGAAAAAATAATAAATTATTTATAAAATAATAAATAGGTTTTTTCGAACAGTAGTGAACTACAACAACAAAAATTAATTTTATATTATTTTAATTAATTGAATTTTTGGCTAACCATACAGCTGTTTCGAGTATTGCCAAATACCCATCTGCAGTCGTCTTGGAGCGACAGTTTTGAGAATGCAAGTGCCAGGAAGCGAACTGGTGTCCTGCCATATTTGAAGCTCAGAGTCAGCGCACATTAAACAACTACACTACACTCTTTACTACACTTACTCTTTAATAAAATTCGTATTGACCGATTGTAGGTTTCCAATTTGTGTACTCCTCTTAACAGTTTATTGTATCACATTTTAATATTTACGTTTTTATTATTAACAATTTATTAAACAATTTTATGGTGTTATCACTTATTTGCGCAAATATACTACATGTACGCAATTATGATTACAAACGAGCAGTGTTCAGAGATATAAAGGGTAAAATAATTTCCTGTATGTTTATTACGTGATTGTATCTATAATTTCGTAGTTTCATTGTTTAATTCAACTTGAATGTAAATATTAATATGGATTCCATCATTTTAAAAGGAATCTACGTTGCGAGGAAATTACTCTGATTAACAATAATGAGTTGATTATTCTCGGAGTATAGGGGTTCAGAGTTGATTATTCTCGGAGTATAGGTGTTCATATTGCATACCTTTCGGCGTTTCTGAGAATTGTTTATTAATAACATATGATATCACATTTATCACATGGTTTGAATAAATAAAATTTAATATATTTTTTTTTATGCGACTGTATAGATATGATATATAATTATATACAATTTAATAAATAATTGTAAAATTAATTTTTAACAATATTTTAAAAATAAAGTTGTAGAGTTAGTAAACTGTAAAATTTTTGCTTTATAAGTTAATAAAATAAAACAAATTTCAGTTTGTGAAACGTAACGTCTAACATTATTTTTACCAATAATGCATCATCCTAAAAAACACAAACTTTTTTTTTTAACAATGTGACTTCATTAAGCACTAATATATATAACTTACAATGTTTCAAACGTCACGAGTTATACGACAGAAATAATTACGGGAGTTACATAGACATCATTTATTTAACTCTTTCTGCTTTCTTCTTCTTTTTATCAGTTCTAAGTATTTAGAAATATGGTTATGCCTATGTCATATATTCACTTTAAATGTTTGTCTTCTAAACCTACATTTTTATCATCAAGGAAGTAATCACTTCATCTTAAAAAAGAACCTGCGAAGTCTGCAGATTATTATCTTCTCGAGCAGAAGATTTACTATATACACCCATTTCAATGACAATACAAAATGAAAGCTTATCAAGCAGTGTGAAATTCAACCAAGATCTGCGAAGAGTGATTGTGATTTGATGTTCAAAGCATCAAGGATTAAGAGATAATAAAATTACAGGCAAACTAATAACCGGAGGTACTCTTGCTTATTGTTGCCAGTACAACATCAGACCTCTAACTGTATTCTTTATAAAAGGGGTAGATAACTGAATATGATACACTAAATAGATGAAAATGCGAAGATACACTAATAGATCAAATAAGGCACTACAGTCCAGTATGAACATTGGCCTCCCTCACAATCTGCCTCTATCTGTCCCTATCTTCTGCTACTCTCTTCCAGTTCAGTACTCCAATCGTTCTTGCATCACCATACACGTTCTCATTCCATCTTGTTCTTGACCTACCTCTGTGTCTGGTTATCATCGGCTTTGCGTTGAATATGCTGTTCGGCTTTCTTTCCGACCACATTCTTATTACATGAGCAGCCCATTGAAACCTTTGCAACTTAATGTATCTCACTATATTTTCATTTCTAAGCAGTTCTTCAATTTCTTTATTTGGTCGTCTTTGAAAAGTTTCTGCATCAATTTGGATTGGCCCGTAGATTTGGCGAACTATTTTCTTTCAAAAATTTTTAAAGCTTCTTCGTCTGCCTTCGTCATTGTCCATGTTTCTGAGCCATATTTAGGTACCGGTCTTATTATTGTCTTGTATATTCGTAGCTTACTTTCCTTGGATAGTAGTCTTGATTTCATTAAGTCTAAATATTTGTAAAAACATCTATTTGCTGCTTGTATTCTTTTTCTTATTGCGATTCTGCAATCAATATTGTTGCTAATCAGCGAACCGAGGTAGGTAAAGTTGCTAACAACCTCAAAATTGTATTCATCAATTGAAATGCGTTGCATACCCGTACTCTCGTTCCTTCTTGCTAGCTTGAGATAGACTTATCCATTAATAATTTATCTAGATGGAATGAACAGTATGTAGACAATCCCTTAGGGTCGGCATTTTCTTGATCTGGATATTATTCTTTTTCTAATTATTAATTTCTCTAATTGATAGTTTTTGGGTTTAAGTTGTCTGCAGCCTTTTAGTCGGAATTTTTACTTGATCTAGATATAATTATTTTCCTGATTATTAACTTCTCCAAATGGGAGTTTTTGGGTTTGAGTTGTCTGGAGCCTTTCAGTCGGAACTTTAACAATTGATTTTTAAATCATTTCGAAACCACTAAAGTTTATTACTAGTCAAAATATTATAAGAAGAATTTTTATTTGTTTTGGTTTCCTAAATCATTACTTTTTATATCATTAGTCCTGATTTTTTTTTTCATTATTTATAATGTCTTTTTTTGTATGTTGAATTCTTATTATTCTTATGTATTCTTATGTTCTTAGGTCCAAATTTTCTAAAAATTCATAATTTTCTTATCATTAAATTTTTTTTTATGTCCTATTTTATATTACTACACCATATTTAACTTTCATTAAGAATAATATCTTCCATATATACATTAATTATTTTAATGAAAATTCAAAAAATAAGCTAACGACATAATTACAAAACACAAAAACAAAATATGTTCGCAAAATTTCTTCATAGAAGCGGAATTTCGCTGTAATTAGCGATTAATGTTCACTTAAAAATGTCCTAATTGTGCAAGTAGAAAATTGGCTCAAATTATCTTTGGAATTATGAAATTATGAAGTAGCTTGTTTGCAGTAAAATGTAATTACAGCAATTGTTGCTGCCGCAATGCAACTGTACCCGTGCCATACCCATACCCCTACCCGTGCCATACCCATACCTATGCCCATGCCCATATCCATGCCCGTTCTTGCAACAACTGTAGCACAACGTCAGCACTAATAATTATGTTTAACAATGCGCTAATAACGTTTATTAAAACCATATAAGATTTTCTATTTAGCATTCATTTGGCTCATTTATTCCCTACAAGCCCAGACCCAGACCCAGACTAACAGCAGCACCCAGCTTCACTGCACATTCGTCGTACGTCGTGAGTCGAACGTCGCATGGTGCAAATATGCATATTCAAATGTTTAAGCCTGGTTATCCGTACGACTATATTAGCTCCACTGGTTGGGCGCAGAACCACCCAATGACAAATTACACAAATCCTTGTGAAGCACATTAATGCCAACAATAAATTAATCGCTGCAAATTAAAATGATGATGATGACAATGTTCCACTTTAATTGAAATGTACGTGAACGAGTTTCTAAATACGAAATGCTCAGATTCACTTACATACACAAGTGGCAATTTGGTTTATTTGCATAATTTATTACTTTACATTGCATTTCGTTATTTACTATTTAACTTATATGATACTCAAATAAATATGCCCCTACGAAATCCTACGTGTTAGGGGGAAAATTGATATTATGCTCTCCGTTTAAGCGACCCGCATCACGGACCTGCTGCTCAACACGTCTATCATCTTCATGTCCATCAATGCCAAGTCCGATGCGTTCAATAAATTTGGCAGAACGAAAACCATGTGTCTATAAATAAATATCCGTGGTAATTATTTATGTATATAAACATATATAGTATATATATGGTATCTATACTATATATAGTATGTAGTGTATAAACATATATATGACTATATGATATGATTATACATGATATAATATTCATACATTCTTTATTACTAAAGTACTTACTTCATAATAAAGTGCTCTTCTCTTCTGACTTATGGTAGGATCAAAATCCCAAGTGCTAGGCACATGAGTTAGAGGCTCACCAGCGACATTATTCTGTAAAGTTTCTGTGATAAGCCGATATATAAAACCTTCTATTGATTGCAAACTTAAACAGAACAACATGACTGTAAACTAAAAAGAAAAATTAATTATCAGCGGTATTACTTATTAACATATAATCTCTATTTATTTTTATATTTGTGGCATATAATAAATATAACAATGATATAGCAGTAGAATCGTAGAATAAAGAGAAAAAATGCGGACTACTGGAGCTTCCAGTGACGCTAGAACTGCTCCACTCCACTACAACTATTGCTGATCTTTTTTTTTGTCGTAGTAACCCTAACTGAACAGAAAATAGTCCGTTCATCGGATGAAAGCCAGAATATTAGCTGTTAAGGACATACTGCCATTGGGAGGATGCGGAAATAAAATAGTAACAATTTAAATTATTTAAACTTTTTCTACTATTATCCAGCTTTATCTTTATTTACATTCAGAAAAAAATTACCGAACTAAATTTTCTCTCCCTTATGGTCTCATTTAACGTCTACACTGATTAGACTTTGTAGTAAAAGCTTTTTTGACCACCCTTTGCACAATCTGAGGAAAATACAGCCAACTTCTAGTCAACGAAAATAATATAAAGGACAAACCCATACAGATAACATTTCTTTATAAATTGCTTTAGCTCGAAGATTTGATCAGTTACAGATGAATGGTGTTCTTGTATAAATCCCTTTGTCATGGCTACTCCTTATTATTTCTTTTCTCAAAATAGACATTTAGTTCCAGTTTTTTGTATTATCCTTCAAATTGCATTGTAGGTCGCAATTTCAATTTTTTAATAAGGTGCTTATAAAAATTTTAGTGCTTTTAGCAAGCACTTTTACACGTTTTTGAATTTGCATTTTTCAAAAGAAATTTATTATTTTCATTTGGATCGGTTCACTATATTTAATGATTTCAAGGGTGATATATAGCACACGAGATGCATCAGATTTTTTTTATTAACTGTATAATGCTGGAAAAATTTTGTTTTAGTAATTTAAATAAATGTTTTAGTGTTTAGTACTGTTAACTACCACTTTTGCTTATTGTATTATATATGTTATGGAACCCGAACATTTCTAGCTTATCGAAATATTCGAAACTCGAATATTAAATTTAAGGTTTAGTAGTTAAGTTATATTAAGTAAAACTTATGAATGGTTGAAACAATTTCACCAATCATAATTATATATATTCTAGTAATAAATATTTCACTCCCTCATTTGCCTAGCATTGAATGTGTCGACAAAACAATGGATTTACTCGCCCACATGAGGGAGTAAAGGTTTTTCCATAACCAACTCCAAACTATAGCAAAAGGAAGGAAACTTCAGTTATAAATGGGTTTCAGCAAAATCATCATACTCTCGCCCACATAAGGGAGTAAAGGTTCCTCCATAACCAACTCCAGAATAAGACTCCAGAAAGGAAAGGACTCCCTCTCTTGGACTGGGAACGAGCAAACATAACTGACACACTATATAGGAGCGAACTTGAACATTAAATACTTGCATAAGTGAAGTTAAGAAGTTTACTACGAAGTAAGTCTGAAGACAATACAATTTAATAATAGTGATTCATAGGCAATGTGGCATTAATTATTTTACTAAATGATGTTTAGAAATGTTGGTAAACTATTTTTCAACAATGAAGGGAATTTAAGTTTAGATAAAGTGAAACTGAAGTTTTTCCAGGTTTTTTTTTTAAATAAATCGTCCATTGTCCATTTCAAGCGGTTTTGAGTTTAGTGAACCTGGTATTAATCCTGTTTTATTTTTATGACTTATGCTAAATGTTGCTTTCACTTAATTCGAATGTTAAAGCTCTTCGACAGATGAACAGATCGATCACCTAACGTAATTTTATGAAATCAAGGAAGTTGGATCTTAAAAAAGACATTGTCAAGGCACATTTCACTGTAAAACCATATTCAACTGCACATATTTATTTATTTAAACAAATACTTCACTAAAAATAGAGTAATTATAACTTTTAATAAAACTTACACTAAATTTGATCAAATTCATTTTTAATATATCAGATTTGTTAATATTCTCACAAAAAAATATTTAAAATTTACTTTCAAAATGAGAAAGAAAAATATAAAACCGCAAATTAAACTTTTCGTCTTGATCGGTTGGAGAAGCTATTGATTACTAAACAACGAATGATTGCATAAATCTATCTGAAGTTGTAAAATATTAAAAAAAAAAACTGTTTGCATAAAAATCGAGAAGTAAACAAACCGAACGAGTTGAAGAAACGCTACATGCCAAATTGAACACGCCAACTCAGTTCGATTTCTTCAAGACACCAGAAAACGCGAACCTCTCTTGATGACTGCAACCGGCAACAGAGACTTATCTCTGTTTATCTTTCTTTACTCAACTCTGCGGCTCAACCTAAGATAAGTTACATGCGCAAAGTCAACATTTGCTGTTATCTATCTGAGCAAATTATTTGAATATCTTGTAGTAGCTCTAAACCCTAAGCCATTAACCTCTAACTTCTGACATTGGTAGTACACAAAGTATTTTTATTACTCTATTTAAACTACAGAAGAAAACCCTGAATATAACGAATATCAAAATAATTATAATAATGATGTATCTAATAATCACTGAATTGTGAAAATATGCATAGAAGTGCGTAAACTACTGAAGATTTTAGATATTTGGAGACACGTATATTTAGAGAAATAAAATTATTTTTAAAATAATTCAAAGACTGTTAGAAAGGTACAATATGACAAATAAATAGAGCAGCAAATAAAATCGAAAAACCGAATGCAGTCTGGTATTTAAGTATATGCCGATATACCCGAGATTTGCTATTATCAAGTGGAATAAAGAATTCCTATAGATAGTTTTTAGACCTAGTTTTTTTACTTTCTTCTTCTTCTTCCTTGTTTCATTAACTCCCAGTGGAGCATAGGGCATAGGGTATAGTGGAATCATATATAAGATTCCACTCTCAAGAAAGAAAATATCGGGTATTTTTTCAGCTGCATGAGAACTTCAAATGCTAACACAGAACAGAAATATTGTTGGAAGAATATTTTTTTATTATAATCAGGTAAATAATTATAGGGCATTTATTTTTTGAATATCTTTTCCGACATATGTTCGCCGCGGTTACGACATCCATGGTCCATTCGATCAGTACAATTTTTGACTATTTTTTGCAGTGCTTCAAAAATTGCTGTTTTCCAGCATAAACCAATGATTTAGCCCCATAGAAAGTAATTGAGAGGCGTTAAAGCGTACGAACGAGGAGGCCAATTAACAGGACCACTTCTGGAAATAAAATAGTTACCAAATTGATTTCACAATAAATCGATTGTTAAACGCGCTGTATGACAAGTTGCGCTATTTTGTTGGAACCAAATGTCATCGATGTTTAACTGATTAATTTTTGGAAACAATAATTCAGTCAGTATGGATTGATGGCGCTCGCCATTCACGGCAGTTTCTTCTTCATTTCGAAAGAAATAAGGACCGATGATGCCGTCAGCGTGTAAATCGCACCAAACAGTTAGTCTTAATGAATATGGTTGTGATTCGTTAACGGCTTAAGTATTATCTTCGCTATAGCAATTTTGCTTATTGATGTTACCATTTAACCAGAAAAAAGCTTCATCACTAAACACAATAACGCGTTATTCTAGCGTTAAACATTGCTTGATCCTTACTGTGAATCCTTACTGAACAGAAATGTCCGACCTGGTCCAAACTGAACCAGAAACGTTCCGGTTAGCTACTTCAACTAAAACAGAAACTGCTCAGCACTATGGTATTGGTACTGACGAATTACGGTGTACTAGAAAGACATGCTACGAGACTGGATCTACCCTGTAATGACAGTTTTCATGATTATGAAGAAGAGAAGGAAATCGTAACTCTCCTTCTTTGTTAAAGCACATTTTTGACAAATAGAAGATCAAAAATTTCTACGGCACCTTTTCTTACGAACTGAGCTGTCATCCTTCATTTTGAATTTAACCAAGCTTTTGGACTTATCAGATTGATTCACTTTCACACGAATGAGAGAATCGTGCCTTTCAGTGTTATCTGTATGCTGACCACAGTGGTCCTTCTTGTTGGTTCTACTATTTTGCGTGTCAATAATTCTAATCCGTGGTGTCATGAAGATCCGTTATTGGAATTGCTCAATACTACACTGTCTGTGCTGAAAAGTGACATGTTATGAAACTGGATCTACCTTATAATGATATTTGCCATGGTTGCGATTTGAAGAGGAGGATGAATTTGTAGTTTAGCTTCTTTCTCAGTGTACATCTTCAGTTAATAGAAGAATAAAAATCATAAGGCTCCCTTTCTTTACGGCCCTACAAGAGCTGTCATCGTACATTATGAATTTAGCTAATTTTAAAGACTTGTCAGGTTGGTTCACTTTAACTTGAACGTGGGGTTGTGGCTTTCTGCGTTATCATGTTCTCTAACGGCTGTGGTCCTTTTTGGGGTATCTTTCTGCTCTATGTATGAACAACGCTTATTCATAGTATCGTAACGAGTATTAATAAAACTAGAGTGAGGTTTGAAGAACAAGGTCACCACTTCAACCTAACCTAACATATAGAAACTATAACACTTTAAATGTTGTCGTTTTTTTCTTTATCAATCTTTGCTAGTATAGCAGTGTCCAATGACCTGTAGAGCAGTTTTAAACAATTAACATCATTACCAAGGTAAGAATATATTTCATACAAAACTACGAATTCTTCAATTTTAATCTTCTCTTCTTCTTATTTATTCATGGGTTGTGAACCCATATAAGATTGAAACTTTCTTTACAATTCCTCCCCACATCGACCGATATTTTTTTCTATAAAAAATACTGAATCCATCCGTATTAAATTGATCACTTCAACCGTTTACTGAGAAATATTTATTTAACTCCCATAAGTCTCTGAAGACTCGTATAAAAAATTTATTTAAAAACAACTTCAATTGTCTAACAACTCATAAGTCTTTAGATACATCATAACAATTTTTTGCATAATTGCAAATAATTGAAGGTAAATATATGAAAAATTGCATAATCCGCACTTGTGGAAAAACCGATTTATCAAACTTTTTGTGTTTACACCAGAAAGCCATCGCAATGTCCCCATTTTACTATGCAAAAACGGGTCTATCTTTGCGCTTGCGCATTGCGTATCTTGAGACGAGCTCGCTTCACTTGGAGGAGCACACGAATTCATTCAGCAATATTTAGATGGGTAACGTGGGTAACGTGCCAGTCTTCAGGTCTTCACATCTGAAATTGTTGTCAATTTTTCGTATTTAGTTACGCTTGCTTCTGCTAATTTTAGTGAGGAAATCCACAATTTATTTGAATTGGCGACGAAAGGGCACAAAATAAAACCAGCAATAATGAGACCCAAATGGGTAGGAAGAGTGTGAGTAGACAATAAAACTGTGGTTTTACGGTTTACACTTTCACTTTCATTTTTAAGTCACAGAAATACTCAATGACAAGAGGAGAGAGTCTTGCGAGATTTACACTTGAAAACCAGACTTACTTTTAACAGCACAAATATTGGTACGTTTACAGTCTTCTAGGTGTCGCGATTTGACGACGGATTTTTATCAAACTGACTATTTTGACAGATTTTTTCCATTATATTATATTATATTATTTCCACGTTTATGATCCAATATCTTGATTATCGTGCCGATATGTAAGCAGACCCAATAGCATACCCAGTGATATATTTAGGGGAACAATATTTAGGGTTAACAATTATATTGTTCAATAAAGCTGTGCTTGATGACTTTTTTTTGACTCTATTTTCAGAAATAAAGACCCTATTTGCCCTGTAGATTGGTTTCTTACAGCTTGTGGAACGCTTTGATTGATTTATGTGTATAAGTTTCCTACAATTCCAGTCTTAAGAGCAAGTATCGAGTACACCAAATTTGAAATATAGCCTGCAATATTCAAAAAAAAAACTTTTTGAAAACTTGTGGCCCTGGAGTGTATTTCTAAAGATACTACTGTAACGAGCAACTGATTGAAATAATTTTTCATTAGTATTGCCATTAATATATGATTCGATAAAATTTTTCTTTTAGTTTGAACGCATACACCTCTAAAAATAGTACCTCATATCAGCACGTAATTTGGAGAGGGACTTGAATAAGTGAAACCACCTAAATGATTCGTAGAATATTCAAATGTGCCTTATAACCATTATTATTTTTTTGTTTATTTGTAAGTTAAAGTTAAAGTTAAGTAAGAATAAGGCACTTGACTGCTAGACCCTACGCCCTCAATATTCATTATTAATATATTATGACTGATATGTAATTGATATATTGCGATAAAATAGTTTTTAATAACGCAAATTTATCTAAAAGACCCTACCCGATATATACCTACATACTGCTCTATATTTTGCATTTTTTTTTCAGTAATATAAAATTGAATAGTGTAGGCTTTTGTCTTCTGGCAATGTAAACAAAAACTCCGGAAACCAAACTCAAACAGAGATACATAACTCTGTTATGAGTACTCATAACAAATACGAGACGATTATGTATTTACAGCTCGGAGAGCGGCTGGAGTCATAAGCGGCCGACTTTTCAGTTCGCCGCTCTCGAAGTTCTCTCGAAGCTCGTTAGCTTATTAGCCTGTCAGCTTGTTGGATGTTAGCTGTCGTGACTTTGCTTGATCTACTCCAACCAGTTTCAATTGCAGCTTAGGCTGCAAGTAAGCCTCGACTTAAACTACTAACCAACAATTGAAGCAACCGCGGCCAGTTCAGTTACAAAACAAACGCGCCAGCAAAAAGATTCGAGCCAAACTGCTTCAGTCGTACAGCGAAAAACGCTTTAGCGTGCGATATTTGCTATCAGAGCCGGAAGTTTCGCCTGTGGAAATTTAAGTGTGAATTTTTTTTAAATATAAAATTAAATAGAAATATTTAAAAGAAAAAAATATGAGTAAATTAAGCGCGTTTTTATTGCCTGTAAGTTTAACCAAATCATAGAAACTAAAAAATCCAATGGGAA